CACACACACACACACACACTCTCCTAGAAACCCAATGTAAATCACAGGCGACAACTTAGTTTTCTGCTTTACTACTAATCAGTTTTCGACTGAAATAAACACTTTTTGGCAGACTGACTGAACTGAACCAGAAATCCTGTTTTACCAGTTTGCAATTGGTACCTACAGTCACATTCACAGACGTAATTATTTTTGTCTGTCCCTTAGTTGCTACCATGACATTAAAAAACAACCAGCAATAATATGTCAAAGATTCTAATTCAACTTGGCGTGTTTTCTATAATTAAATCTCTTTCTTTTGGCCACTGGGGTCTACGGTGACCAACTCACAACCTACATCTTTAAAAAGGCTTATCATTCTTCTTTCTAAGTAAGTTTTTCTCACGTTATATTGACAGCAAAGACAAACAAAGACAACTGAGAGGAAGCGCTAAACCTTCATCCATCTCTATTTGAACAAACTCTGGGTATGCAGACGTTGGCTCTTGTTTCCAAAGACGAACTTTAAGAGAATGGACACGAAACAACGGTGGAAAAGAGAAGAGACACAACAAAAGTGGCAATGGATTAGACACACAAGAGTAGATCAGGAAAGCGATGTGAGGAGGAAAATGATGGATGGATTGGACAGAGAAAGAGAGAAAGATGGAAAAGGAAAGAGACTCAATAAACACCGTGATGGACTGGACACACGTTAAGGAAACCTTGACAAGTATAACTAGAAAGGCACTGGGATGGAAGCCTCCAGATCAGAGGAGCTGAGGAAGGCCAAGAACAACATGGCACAGAAAGAAGTAGGCAAATACCAAGAAATTGTACCTATGAAATTTTTAACCTATTTCAGTTGACTGTTATGATGACAAATTTATCTATAGATTAAAAGAAAATACAAGCTACAAATAGGATCATTTTTCCATCAACAGTCTGCATCAGTAAGACTATACGAACACTGATTTTCAATAAAACTTCTCATACAGAAAGAGAGACTAAAATATCTATCATCCCTTTCATACACGGACCATGTTCATACTCAGGATGACCAATATTTAACAAAATGAGTTTGTTTCCAACATGTAAAAGCTGGTATGAGTTTTGCACAGCTAGCATATTTATAAAATATTCACCTTAGACAAAAGTACAGCAATAGTAAAAAGCTTTGTACAATATGCTGATTAGACAACAGTGTTTGCATACAGCAGTCAGAACATCAAGGGGTCTCGAAGATACATACAAATATGTAACAAGTATCTGCATAGGGAAAAACATTGCATCTTCCTCACAGACTTACTTAGTCTTACACATCACAACAAGAAGAAATTGTTCACGTATCCATGCTGTATTTACTGCACATTTCCCTGTATGGTGCATAAGCACACAAACACACACACACACACACACACACACACACACACAGGCACACACACGCGCACGCACACACACACACAGACTTAAACACACACATACACATACACACACACACAAACTTAGACACACACACAAACATACTTATACACACAACTACACACACACACTGGTACACAAACCATTTTTGACTCCTTCAAAAAAGACATTGTATGCCTAAGAAAGGTATTTCAACCCATTCTCCTCAATTCACTCAGCAGCAAATGGTTATGTGACAATTATTAGAGACAGAGGTGGATCCTACATAATAATGTATCTTTGTACCAGATTGCAACATTGTTTATACCTGGAGGACTGGAATATCAATAAACTGGAATAAACAAGCCAGCCAAAGGAGACGAGATGAAGTTGTGTGAGCCCTCATGAAGAAACAAATGTATGGACAAGCACTTCACTTTTCTAAAACTTTTCATTTCCATTAATTTTGTTCCTCTTCAATTAGACTCTTTAAGTTTGTAATGGTCAGTCATGCACAACATTACTGCATTTTGGAAAAACCTGTCTCAAGCTGATCAGTGAAAAGGATGCATTACTCATATCCGATATGGGCCAAAATATTAATCTGGCCGAGAGAGAAAACAAATTACAGCCAGCTGTAACCTAATATAAAGAGCATTCATCAAACAAAACTGTAACCAAACACACATATCATTACAGATGTATGATTTAAAAATGGTCTGCTCCTTACAAACTCAAAATCTTCCGTTCTAAAAATTCTTTTAAAATTTCAAGCAAAACAGTTAATCTTTAAATATAAATCCATTTGGTATATCATTAAGTCGCTTTAAACAATTTTGGAACACAATAGTTCTGTAAACTTAAGTGACTTGGGAGAACTACGTCTCTGAAAGACATGATTGCAATGATAATACTTCACAAAACATAAACTCTGGCATGAAATCTAAAAATTGTTCTTTCTTTACAATCTGTTTTCATATTCTCCAGAGTTTTTCAACTCCTCTTCAAAATTCTACAAAGTAATCATGCTCATATAGAAGTTTGTCCAGGATCAAGGTGGCTAATGATAAGTCCCATTTTAAATCTTACAGATTTTTCAAAGGAAGATCTGATATAAGTACTATAGTCTATCCCCCAAA